AGACGTAGAAAACAATCACCGAATGAGAACATGAGCTCAGATCACCTGCACCAATGCGTGCGTATAACGTATTACTTATATTATGCATACCTACAAACAACAACAACCAGAAACAACAACTACCTACGTAAACCAACGCTCGCCTAAGCTGTCATGACCATTTTCAACTAAAACCACCTGGGCAGAAATGGGAAACTCGTCTTGGCCAAAGGGGAAACTCACGGCCCTCCAGCTGCAGCACGTGTGCGCGGAAGGCGTTCATTTCTTTGGGAGGACTGTGACAATCTCGTTCAATCAGACCCATGAATATTGACAAAAAATCCGGACCCGGTTTGCAGCGCTCAGCTGTTTACGCATGATTTAATCACTTCTGTTTGACGAAACTTTGCATGGTTTACTCTTCAAGGGGGCCAGGATCTGCTTGCTCAAACGACCTGTGCCCAACCCTGCCGGCTTCAGCTGATCAAGGGAAACGCATGTCAATAGATTAAGGAGCAATGATCTAGTTGATTCTTCTTATTGCAGACTTCCGGAGGTGAGCAAATTGTGGCAGACACCAAAATCAGAAAGCCACAGCGAGCCTTCATCATGGCGCTCGTTTCACCCTGAGCTTGCTATCATTCCATGTCGCTCCATGACCATGAAGGCACCAGAGGTCTGGGTCCCTCATTGCAAAGAAATATGCGCCAGCCTGGGCCCCGACTTGGACAGGTCCTTGACCGCTGTGGCCGCCTCAAACGCAAAGCCCGGGGTGACCCAAGCCGGAAAAGTTCAAGCCAACTTGCACCAAGCTTTCTGCATGTATGTGTGTACGTGTGTATCTATGCATGTGTATATATCTATAAATGTGTATCTATTTCTGTGTGATTGTGCACAGAAGCTGGCTGCCCTTAAGGCCAGTCTGTCCCTCCTGCTGTGCCGTCCTACCGTGCTTGAAGCGATGCTCCGTATGTGTGCTCATGTGTGTGTGTATATCTATGCATGTGTGTGTGTGTGTGTATGTATTCGCATGTATTTGTATGTACTCGAATGTATCCGTATGTATTCGTATGTATTCGTATGTATGTATGTATGTACGTATGTATGTATGTATGTATGGATGGATGGATGGATATGTATGTATGTAATTATATGTATGTATGTATGTATGTATATGTATATGTATATGTATACGTATATGTATGTGTATACGTATATGTATATGTATATGTATATGTATATGGATGTATGTATGTATGTATGCATGTATGTATGTATGTACGTATATATGTATGTATGCATGTTTGCATGTCTGTCTGTCTGTCTGTCTGTCTGTCTGTCTGTCTGTCTGTCTGTCTGTCTGTCTGTCTGTCTGTCTGCCTGCCTGTCTGCATGCATGCATGCATGCATGCATGTGTGTGTGTGTGCGCGTGCGTATGTACGTATGTACGTATGTACGTATGTATTTTGTATGTGCGTAGGTACGTACATACGTATATGTGTAAGCATGAGTGCATGCATTCATGCATGCATGCATGTGCATGTGTGTGTGTGCGCGTGTGCATGCATGCATGTATGTATGTATACATGTATTTCAGTATGTGTGTGCATGTGTATGTGTATGTGCATGTGTATGTGCATGTGCATGTGCATGTGTATGTGTATGTGTATGTGTATGTATGTGTATGTATGTGTATGTATGTGTATATGTGTATGTATGTGTATATGTATATATATATGTGTGTATGTGCTTACATGTGTATATGTGTATATGCGTATATGTGTATGTGTGTATATGTGTATATGTGTATATGTGTATGGTCTGTCTATGTGTATGGTCTGTCTGTCTGTCTGTCTGTCTGTCTGTCTGTCTGTCTGTCTGTCTGTCTGTCTGTCTGTCTGTCTGTCTGTCTGTCTGTCTGTCTGTCTGTCTGTCTGTCTGTCTGTCTGTCTGTCTGTCTGTCTGTCTGTCTGTCTGTCTGTCTGTCTGTCTGTCTGTCTGTCTGTCTGTCTGTCTGTCTGTCTGTCTGTCTGTCTGTCTGTCTGTCTGTCTGTCTGTCTGTCTGTCTCTCTCTGTCTGTCTGTCTGTCTGTATTGCATGTACGTATGTGTATATGTTTTTCCTCGTGCATGCATGCATGCATGCATGCATGCATGGATGCATGGATGTATGGATGTATGGATGTATGGATGTATGGATGGATGGATGTATGTATGTATGTATGCATGTATGTATGTATATGTATGTGTATATGTTTATGTGTTTTTTCCTGAAAGCATGTATTTGTATCCACAATCGCTCAAAGCCGAAGGATTTCAAGCGGCGGAACCAATCTTACATTTGAGTCTTCAAATTGGCTTCAACTGTGTATTGGCTGAAAGGGCGCCCTAATGACCCACTACCTGTTTGGGGTCGGCCAGAAAAGTCGCTGATTTAATGTTGGTTTGGAATGGGCCTGTACTGGTAGCCTTGTTGGGGAAAAATGTCAATTGAGGTCCCCCTGCATTAAAAGGGAGTTATATTAACACTCGTGTGTGTATATATATATATATATACATTATATATGCACATACAGGTCTTTGATGCGTGGATTCCGAGCATCAAGGCACGCTTTTTTTTGGGTCCGGCATCATCGCTTGTTTGTCGAACTTGAGATACGGACCATGATTTGTGCCTTATCATCCAGAGCAAAGCTAATCATTCGTATCCTGCGAGATCTCTTGCGGGTTGGACGAAACCTCACATTCTGCTTCTGGGAGGAGGCCCAACTGAACTTACCCATTCATGGATTTCTGGGTGGAACCTTCAGTCAATCTGGAATTAGCGCAATGGTCAGTACACATAGACACTACCCAAATAACATGCAGAAATCCATTTTTTTAGTATAGCTGTTGAACCTATGCATTGTGGCCTGCAAAATTGTGGTTTTTCCACACCAAACTAGCGAACGAGCTTTGGGTCCTCGGCCCATTGCCTGAGCCACGGTCAACATATTTGTTGTGTCCCCCAATGGCATCGGATTTAACTTCCGTGTCCTAGTGGCAATTTGGCGAGTGCACGCAATTCCACAGCCTGCGTATTCCTCAATTCGTCACTTGAGCAAGTCAAGTTGGCTGGAAGCTCTCAACAACTTGTGTTGTTTTCAAAGCAAAAAGTCTTACCCGGGCCCGGATCCAAGCACCCATTGAGGATGGCTGCTGGAGGGTTGAAACGGTTGTCTGACTCTGCCATGAGCAAAACCGACGGCCCTTGGCAAGGCCCCAAAAAAGTCCTAGCCAAACGGCAGTATAAAGGCCTTGCTAAGTGGACCCCCTCATCTCAGAAGGCTTGGGCTACTGGGCCTCCACGTTTGCCTCCCGTGCCCTAGGCCCCGGCATGCTCGGCCGAGGGGAAGCTCACTCGTGCCGTGCGGGAAGCTGCCAAATCAGGCGTCCATTGACTGTTGGTTCTGCTCATGGTTTCTCAAGTATCATATTTGTATGCAGGCCTCACAAAACCCCGTAGTAGAACCCTCTAAAATGGCCAACGGGGGTTTAGGGCAATTCTCCGCCAAAACATGCCCGACCCTTGACTTTCCCACAAGGCCTCCACACCTATCAAGGAAAAGGTGAGATCTTGAAGCAACAGACTACTTGAAGATGGAACCTGATTGCGGGGTGAGGCTATGGAAGACCATTTTCCCCTCACCATTCGAACGTGCCAAAAACCATGGCCACCAGATTTGTAGAGCCTTGCACCTCCAGTATCAATCGTCCCCACAAATCCTGGGATACAGACCAACTGCAACTTCCTCATGCCATTGGAGTCTGAAGACCCAGCATGCGCATAGAGAACCAAGCTCCTGACCGGCCCCGCTGCCTCTTGGTTTTTGAAGCAAGCCTGTCTGGTTTTACGGCGACAGCAATAGGTAACACCACGAACCTAACACAAACTCCAAGCGCTCATGCAAACCGGGCTCCTGCCGCGATCTTCCCACAAATTCATGGTACTCAAGACCAACATTTGCCAGAGTATATAAATGTGGACCGTAAATATTACATGCATGGAGTTCTGGGGCTCGAAGCTACTTGTTTGAGGGTTTCTGGTTTGCCTCCAACGCTCCGTCGTGGCACTGGACTCCACCGGCTCATTCAAAGGCAAGCAATTTCCAGCCCAAGCAACTTCCACCAGCCCCATGGAACAGGTGGATTTAGTGGATCCAAGCCACCTGCGATCCCTTTGCCGCCCGCGATTTGCGGCCTCCGTGGATGCTGCAGAAGGTCACTTCCCCCTGCGGCAGGAAGTGGTCCTTTAGGTCCTGGCCCGAGCCCCAACCCACAAAGTTGGCCTGTTTTTCTCCAGGAGAACCATACCAAGCGTCCACTGCGTCTAAGCGTCGTTAGGTTGACAAGGAGCAATGACCAAGGGTGGTGCCGCGCCAAACGCAGTCATTGCTGCTGGCCTGGCCTCTGGTTTCGGGGAGAAAGCGGCACGACTTGGCTTTGAACGGAATTAACCCCTCCACAAAAGCAGAAAGGGCCGGCACCACTAGAGTCTGGGTTGATCCATTTGGGGCGCTTGACCCTTTCACCATGGCTTACTGCTTCAGTGGTTCTACATCACGTGGGAAACCAGGCAAAGACCTCCATTTCTGGTGAGGTCATTCTACCAACCAACCCTTTCAATAGCACTCTGCTCAAAGGGTCGGTAAATTTCCGAATAGACTGAAGCAAACAAGCTGCACAACAAAGTTTTTACTCACCTCCAGTTCGACACATCAGTTTGTTACACTCCCACAGATTCACATGGAACTGCAAAGCAATCTCCGACAAATTCCCATTGGGGCACCCCCGTCTTGTCAATTTTGCAGCGCAAAATTGACCCTTCCCCCCGTTCGACCCATCTATGCAGGTCTGAGCGCTCGGTTTCCCAACTCACCGCAAGTCAGCCGCGCCCGAGTTTGCTTCCGACTCCGACTCCGCCGGCTTTCGGCAAAGACCCTTCGAGAGCGCGCGTCCGGTCAGCGCTGCCGGTCAGCAGGTCAGCGGGTCACGGCTCTGGCCACGACGCCCCCCAAGTCAAAGGAGCCCACAGTGATGGCGCACAGCATCAGGCACACGGGCACCGAGGAGGGCCTCCCGCACCCCGAAAAGAAAATGCGGCTTGTTCGGTGTGGCATGGCAGCCACAACTTGTTCAGGCTGTTTTACGGGAAATCCCCCAACAACCAAAGACAAAGCATGGTTTGTTTGGGTTCATTGTGAAGAGATGCCCCTGCAGAAAGAAGAATGGAAAGTGGAGGTCGGGGATACTCCCCTGCGAACCAGCATGGAACCGCTGGAACTTGTTTCTGTTTGGGGGGTGCGATTGAAATCTGCAGTGTGTGCGTGGAATCCCTCAAAACGAGAGTAATTAAATCTGCATTGTATCCCCGTGGGGAGACATTGGTGCACTCATTCCACTTCCCTTTTCCCAGCAGTCCCCAAGAGGAAGTGGAACCATAAACTGAACTCCAGGGGCGGGGCCACAGATGCCGTGATTGCTATCTTCAATGGATGTGTGTGTGTGTGTGTGTTTGTGCGTGTGTTGTCAGTCGATTAATGAGTGAAAATGAGCGGCTTTTTCAAGATGCAACCCGATGTCAACCAAACAATATATGGATTTTGTTGTGGGGCCCAAGTTTCGTCGTAGCGGTCAACATTGCTTGTGTCCCCCTAAAAGGCATGGAAAAACAGTTGATGCACCAGTCTGGGACACGTGGCGACACAAGCCTAGCACTAGCAAATCCTGAATGAATAATCAAAAGCCACATGAGAAGTGTCCTTTGGTTAGTTTTGCTACATTCCTCCACTTTTCAAGAAACACCCAACCCGTGACCTGCAACTCTTGTCTTAGAGGACTCTTATCTTCAATCTGTGACTTGATTGAACACACCGCCGTCATCTGTGTGCTTTCAATCATGCATCAGGACTTGGATTCCTGCCGCAACCTCAACCAGTCGGCACTGAACATGCGTGTCCCTGCATCTGGAAAGATGGAGGGAGGCTTTCCAAATTGTTGAGCACCCCACATTAATTACAGTATTCGGGGTCAGGCAGAAACTCGTTGGAGGAATTCCTCTACTGAGTTTCTGTCTGACCCCTAATACTGTCAGTTGTAGCATCCTCTCATCCTGACACATTCCCAAATGCCTCTAGGGCAGGACCCCCCAAACTAGCAGAACGGGTGGCCCGAAAGCAAAACATGCATGAGAAACTTCAGTGTTGCGACTCTCCAAGTTGTCCCGCGCGTCGTTATCAATGCAGGGCGTCGTTCTCAAGGGCAACTACGCAGCAAAAAGTCGCACATCGACCACGCCGATCCGCGCAAAGGGCCATGCGCGCTCAGCAACGAGTCGCCAAAGTCCTGATTTTGCGGAACAACCACGCCAAAAGTCGCAAGTGTCCGCAGCTTTTGCGCCTCGACCACGCCGATCCCTGAGGAGGGTCGCTTGCAAGCCGCAAAAAGCAAAAAGTGGCAAGAGTCCTGTTTTCGCGCCTCGACCATGCCTGCACAGAGTCTCATTTTCGCAGAATGAGTTTTCTCCTCGCCGCCTTGAAGATGGACTTTCAATTCGGGAAAACATTTCTCGTGCAGGATGTCTCGCATAGGCTAGCGAGATGTCTCGCGAAAGCTTGCTCGTGCCAGTTCGCTCGCACAACTTGCTGCGCGGGTTCTTTCGTGTAACTTGCTGAGCCTGTTCTCTCGTGCAATTTGCTGTCCGCGTTCTCTCGCCTCTTGTGCATGTTTGCTCTGCATGCGCTTTCTTGTTACTTGCTGTGCGTGCACGATCGGGCAACTTGCTCTGCACGTGTGCTCTCATATATCTTGCTCTGTATGTCCTGCTTGCGATTTGTCTGCGCGATCGGACTGCAGTTTTATCGGAAGACCCCTGCGAAATTTGGTTTTTGGCCTGTCGTAGTCCAGGAAAAAGTAGATCCACACGCCGATCTTCGAGTAGAGCCACCAATTAAAGTATAGATAGGTGAAGGCGAAGTACACTGGGAAAATGGAGTGCTCGATGTTCCTTTGCCAGTTGCTGGAGCATCACCCCAGCAGGGAAACTCAACCACCAAGAAAGGGGAATATGGTAAAGGGACGACCCGCCCAAAGTCAAACAACAAAAACACTTGGAACTTCTCTGAATCATGACAACCGAACGGCTCAAAGGTGGCAACTCACGTGTCTTTTAGTGGGGCCCTTTTGGTGGAATCCAGAAGAGTCCTGCAAGGAAATCAGCCAGTGTGAGAGATTGCAGAAACAGCACCAGAACAAATAGGTGAAACAATGGAGGACTATCCAATGAGCTATACTTCGGGCATGATTCAAAAACAAGAAGTTCTGTGCAGGAAAGCAGCTTCTACGAAGACAGGTTTTGTTCACAGAAATCTTGTTTTGTCGGACGAACTGTATGAGAAAACATGTTACACAGTTGGGGATCTGTGAAGCCAGCACTTTCTTTCAAGGCACCAAGGATTTCTGCCGTCGCAGCTTTTACGGCCCTTCCGAAACCTTTCCGGCTCTCCGCACGCTGCCTGCTATGACCCTCTTTGCTTCGACTTACTCTTGAATGGCACCAAAACGTGGACGAGCTTTGGACAACCAGCCACGTCCCATAGTCAGGAACCCACCAAAGAGTCCCTGTAAAAGGAACACAGTCTTCCAGGACCCCTCAGGCAGGTTCCATTCTAGTGGATGGGAGGGTAGACACCAGTCCAGGGAACCTTAAGAAAGCCAATGGAAAATATCTGGCCACCAGCCTCTTATGGTACCTGCATTTGCTACACAGTGTCATCAAATGGTGCGAACTCCAGGTCATGACTCCCCCTACTCCAGATCCTGGTTGTCTAAAGATCTTTGAGTTAATGACCATCCCAACCCACCCGTGGCACCCATCCCAATGCCCAGGGGCACGGTCCACTGGGACAAGACCAGCTCCAACGTCACGAGCACTACATTGGCATTGTGGAGATAGAAGGGCAGTGGCGAGAGCCTCGACGTGTGGCTATGAATCTTAATGAGGAATGCCCTTCTCAAGTGGGTGGACATAAATCTGAAGCTAAATGATTGTCTACCAAAGGGTCCCCAAATCAAATTTGCATCTATTTCAGGAAACTGTTCTTTGGGCTGGAATTTTAGTAAGGAACCACCCCTGAAAAGTGGTTAGTGAACATAAATCCCCACCTCGCTGACACAGAACATGTACACGTCCCTTGTTGCTTGAAATCCGAGATCCCTAATCCTAATCCTTGATCCGTGAGGCGCCACTACGGAAACGATCAAGGAATTTGTTCGAGTAACCTACTGGTTGGAGGCTGGGTTGACCCATTTCCCTCGGCATCTCTTCCCTTGCGGGTCCCAAAACTGATGATCAACACGCCCGCGGGCCATGGAAATGGACCCCCTACCAATCCTTGCCAAAGTTCCCCAAGAGGTATGGCCAAAGCCCATCGAACCTGCAGTGTTGACTAAGCTGAAGGCATTAGATACCAACTCCCACGAACCTGTGCAAGTCGGCAGCTCCGTAACGACCCCGTGAGGCGTACGGCATTGCATAGCTTTTGCTGAAAGCTGTGATGCTGCCAGAATGGTTAAGCTTGTATCTGCGCACAGTTTACTCTGATTCGCGAAGTGCAAGGCAGGGCGTGCAGCGACATAGTGTCCCGTGCGTGTTTGTTACCCCAAGCGCCATCCAGGGCTATTCAGGTTGCCAAGATCTGGGTCGGAAGCGAGTTGGCCCTTCCATGCCCACTTCCGTTTGAGTCCTCTGTGTTGAGGCCAACTATCCCTGCAAAACACAAAGCCCATGGATGGATCTGAGTAAGTCATACACATTCTACCCAGCCCTAAGAACATGCTGAAGAGGCTCTGTCAAAGTGATCCAGTTGATTTCTCGCCTCCTGAACGGTCCAGTTTCAAAAGAACGCAAGAAAGAGCCAAGCGGAACCCAGGTGCCCTCCTCTCACCTTGTGACTGACTGGAAGCAACAAAGAGGCACGGAAAGAAGGTCATGCTCCACCTTCTTGGTTCAAAGTATTGTCAGGGCATCTTGGAACCCTTGCCGCGGATAGGTGTCCTTTTGGGAAAATAGACGGCCCTGGCAAATGAAACAACCAGGTTAACCAGGGCCATCTTTTCGTTTACCAGCACAACCAAACAGGACAACTATGTTGATGAGGCTTATCATTGTCGGTAGCCAGGGCTCAACTCCGCAAGAGCTTCCTTGTGCCTCGGCTGCGAATCCGAGTCGATGGAAACTCTAGGGCAGGCTTCATTGGCCCTGAAAGAGACATGGAGTTGGAGCTGATAAAATGTATCCATATTCAAATATGACAGTACCTTGTGCACCAACTTATTTGTAATCATCATGGTACACACCCTTTTGCCTGCATACGTCTAAAACCAACACGTGGAAAAGCCCTGCATCTTTGCCGGGCAAGGGGTAGATGCGCGGATTGGTGCTCTGGCTGTTTGGAGGGCTGGTCGAAGAGGCCTGGCTGGGGACACCTCGCTTGCCGCCAAGGCTGCCCAAGAACACAAGCCCCACAAAGTCGATGGGTCAATATGTGTGGTGTGGCGGGACAACAAAATGCCACTTGAACGTGTGTGACAAACTACTCGCCGTTGGTTGGAAGTTGCTTATCATTTTGGTTAACATCGAATCGCTCGCAAGGAATTGACAGGACAGCCTGGGCAATCTGAGTTGCGTTTGAAAGAAAACGGGCGAACATCATGGAAGGAGTATTCCTTTTAGCAAAAAAGATGATCCGCCCCGGTCCCCTCCCCGCCGTTGTTAATACGTACATTCTTGCAATTCAGTCAACAGGGAATTGTATGACAAAGCGGCCCCTCATAGATGCGCAACCCTACGCATGTATCAGGGGATGGAGATCTTGTATTGCCCAACTGCAACAAATATGGGTCTGTCCTTCTGCTTGCAGAGTACCCCTTCTTTTGTGGTTCGGAGGGAAGCCACCATTTTGGCAGGGTTCCCAGCGTCGCTTTGCAGCGGGCTAGTCCCCCGTATGTACATGTGGAAGGGTTCCCAGAAAAACGACACCCCCATATGGGGTCTGATTGCCAATCTGGAGTGCGGTTCCGGTTCGGAAGCTGGGATCCTTCAGTTTCGACCCCAGATTAGACACGATCGTGGCATGTGCCAATTTTGTGTGCCCCCAAAATGGCCTTTAAACCATCTCAAAAAGGGCGCCCTCAAAAGAAAGAGGGGCGCATGTAGAAACACATCTTGTGCCCAGGCGCCCTGAGAGCCAGGAAAACGGCAACAAGAAGAGCCATACCGCCCAGAAGACCAGCCAGGCCATTCCAAAGGCCTCAGATAAAAACCACGTGGATCCGACAAGTGGAGCAGACTGCTTTGGAGAAAATGCGTCAGTCCGAGGCAAAGCGGCCATGTCGGTTTTGTGTTTTTGTCTGGCAATGTGAGGGCAAAAGAAATCCCAATTTGGAATCCCCGGATTTTCCCTTCGGGTCGCAAGTAAAAGCGAAAAAAAAACATGGGGGATCCCCTTGAACAAGCCTCTGTCAGGTGCTCGGAATTCACGATTCAATGCGCCTGGGGACAGTGCATCACTGGTCGAGTTTCCCAAAAGAAAAGTAGTCTTTCCAGACCTTCCGGTCGGCAGCTTCCACCGTTGGCAGGGTAGCCTTGCAAATGGTTGGGTCAAGTGGGCAAAATGCTCCAACAATGGATTTGCTTGGAACAGGTGTGGCGTGTCAGTGTCTGGCCCTTGATGGTGAGGAGATGGAACAAAGTCACAGACTTGGCAAATCAACAACTGTTTGACCTTCCAAACGATGAGGCGCCGAAATCATTTGACCCATTCCAACTTGAGTGTAACGCCTCCAAATGAATCCCGGCTCTGTGGCCAGAAAAGGGCTTCCTTGTTTGGTTGATTTTACAGGGGGGTCCCCCTCGTATTATATATATATATATATATATATATATATGTAATTTACATATCTATGACACTGCCTCAAATTACGCTATAGACAAATCCAAATGTGCCTAGAGTGGTTGCACAATTGCACAGGATTATCACATTCTTTACAACTTGAAGCAAGCATCGTGCGGCCCTTGCGAATGCCAACAAGGCCAAAGCTGTGAATAAGAAAGCCGATATTCTTACCACATTTGCAGTTCTTCGGCTGAAATCACATGAATCTGAAAGCTTGGCGTTCCTTCAACATCCTGTGAGGCCGGAAGCAACACCCACAAATCACAAAGACATCTCTTACAATATTGCTGGAACAACCATTCATGTGGTTGCGCCGCAACGGGACGTGCAACTATTCCGCGCGGATATGAATGTGTATACATAAATATGTCGACTTGCATGCGTGGGAATGGAGCATACTTGATCATGCTTGCAAACCGTCTGGCTCCGGGAAGGCAATTATCGAGAGCAAATCCACCGGTTCTGAAGGGCACCGACGTCCAGCTCCATGTGTCCAAGCTCTTAGATTGATTAGGTTCTAGAGGGAAAACACCGAAGTGTCATGTCAAGTAGACTAGGCTAAACCTTTATGGATCCAAGACAGCACAGTTACGTCGAATTGTTCAGATGTTGTTGGGAGCAGAAAGCAACAAAGCTAAATGGTTCTGACGGCCTATATGAGGGTGTATAAACACCTCGTCGATTTGAGAACTGTTCTTTGAGGGTTATAGGTTTTAATTCCTTATCGTTTTTGTGTTTTGTGCTTTTTGTACTTTCAACCTCGAAACTGCGACTCGTTAGTACAAGTGTAACACACGAAGTACACTTTGGCAGCCCCGGCTCGAACATTGTAACTTCTCAGCACAAGAGTAGTACACAAAGTGGCAGCTCCATCTCGAAAATGGCAACTTTTCAGTACATGATTTCAACACAACGGGTTTGTTAAGTACAACCTCATATAGGAAGAAGGGCTGCAATACTTTGGCAACATCTATCCCTATTGCCTTCAAAGCGAGAGTGTCAACAAACTAGTTGTCCTTTGCTTGTGAAACCCATCTGGGAGTTTGGAGAATTTGAGACGCGGAGTGTCCCGATTGGCTCTGACCCTGAAAGAGGAAGCCAGTTCCTTCGACCTGCTTAAACCCAAGGGAAGCCACTGACTTCCGAGCAGGACCTAGGGGATGTCAAAACAGGAACCGCTTGTCGAGGAACCCCACAAGGAACTCAGGTTTGGTAGGGCCCCCAATTACTTTGAGACGGCTTGTTAGAAATCCCCCGTGAAAATTGTGCTATCAAAAATATCTCACAATTGTTTCATAGACAAGTACAAGACACGATAAACCAAATCAGGGAACAACTACACCCTTGGCATCAAAGAAGACCTAAAGGCTTCAATTGCATGCCCGGGGTGCTGAACCACTTTGGCTTAACTGCGTAGAAGTTTGGCAGGAAAAAGAGAACCACACTTCTCATGAGTGATCCCCCATTCTCCAACAACTCCATCATGGGTCACACCGTTCTCCATAAACAAAAGCGCTTTGGGACATTGTTTTTGCGCTCAAACTCCACAGTTTTGGCTTATGGCGTGCAGTTGGGCTGATTCTCATGGATTTACATGACTTCGCAACTCCGCAGGGGTCTCCTCGCTGTGCGTACACCAGCATTCTCCGCGCATACGGCTACGCTCCGCGTGCACGGCCGTGCTCCACGCCGCGCCATCCGCACCAGCCGCGCGCCCCGCGTGCGGGCATGCTGCGGGCACTGGTCAACCCATACCACTGTACTCCGCGCATGCGCGTAGCGAACGCGTTCCCCACGTCCAGCCCTTCTACGAACGTTCGCCCGTCGCCGGCTCCTGTTTGTTTCACGCGTCCGAAAAGAAGTAAAACGCGTGGAAAACGTTACTTGTAGGAGAATGGGTCGGGTGGCGGTTTTTTGATGCACAGGCGCGGCACTTTGGCAAGTCACGCACACCCTCGTCCTTGAAGCACTTTTCGTTCACAAATTAACAAAATCCGCGGCAGCCACTGGCGCCCCTGCGCGCCGTCGAGCGCGCAGAATGGAGAATGCGCGCCGAAACAGGGCAGAAAGGCAACCACCGCGTTCCGCGCGTTCCGCGCGTGCCACCGTGCTCCACGTATACCACCGTGCTCCCTGAATCGGGCGCTTCGGCAGCAGTATAGCGTGCGTCAGGGCGCGCCCACGCAAGAATGAAACTACGTGCGCGCGCGCGTGTGCCTGTGCAAGCGTGCGCACACGCTTCGCGCGCCCACAATCACATGTTCACACTTCCTGAGCTTGGCGGGTGTGACGGGTGGAGGACCTTCTGGAGATTTGCTGATGGGAGCCTGTTTAAGCGGAATTATTTCTCAAGCTTCGAACCCGAGAAGAACATCAAAAAACACCAAAAGAGGAAGATTGGGAACCCTGATGACCCAAGACTGACCTGTCTACTCTTGCGATCTGGCGATCGAGGCTTGGACGTGTTGCAAAAAAAAACTTGTCCCCACTTTTGCTTAAACCCCGGCCCTTCTTGGTAGCGAGCCGAAGCGCAATGTCGAAGGTCAGCCACAGGCCCTGTGTGGCCCAGAGTGGGGGCTCCAGGTCCCACACCACGTACCCCGCGCTGAAGCCTTTCCGAATGGAACCCGCAAAAAAAACTTCAAGGAATCTCCACTTCAACTCACACTTGTTGGCTCCATGTTAATTTGCAGGGGCAAACATTTTAAACACGCTCTCAAGCACGGCAAGCTTCCGTGAAAACCAACGAGGCTTCCTGAAAGAAAGTCCCGAAACGAAAACAGGGCCCTGCACTGCGTTAGCTTTTTAGGAGGCCCTGCATCTTTTCCTAAATCGTCTTCAGAAGCGAAGGTGCGATTGATTGCAGGATGGGGGCATAAGGAAGATTCCCCGCCCGGTGGCAAAATGAAGACGGTAGACTGTCTTGGCCAGGCCTCACATCTGAACGAAATGCTACAATTCACCAATCGGGGTCTCATCTTGGTCTTGGACGTTGCCCAGGGGTGAGCTTGCTGTACCACCTGAACTCACTGTACTTTGTGCTGTCATTCAACCGGGGCCTTGGCCCGAAAATGGACTATTGGACTTGAAGAGGCCCCACCCAGAGGAATCCCGTTGAACAAATGGGGAACCTAGCAGACCGATGTCAATGGTTAGGTTGATACTGCCAATCCTCGCCTTTTGTGGTGGACGTAGCCACTGACAAAGTGATGCGCTGACCACGGAGTTCCCGCCCACTTGCACCAGGAAATGGATTGAAAACAATGCTATAGGAATAAAGTCAAACTGCCTTCCTCATGACACGAAGGCGTGTGAGCCCCGCTTCTTTGGAGCCAATGTAGATAGAGGGCACTCGGCACGCCCACAAAGAGTCCCAGGAATCATTAGTTGAAGCGAACCTCGCAGCTAGTTGCTTGTAACAAAGTGCAGAAGGCCAACGTCTGGCTCAATTCCAGGTCTGCCGCGGTCAAATTCCTCGTGCGCAGGGGTCCGTGACCACCGCTACCAGCCAGGGGTGCGTTCACCATGGCTCATATTCTAACATTGTGCCAAGCAGCTCGTAGCCAGAAAGAAGTAAAATGTCTTCCAACACCACGTCCTGCAAAATGGACCCGTTCCCAAAAGTGTCCAAGGTCATCGTTTATGTTGTTTCCAAAGAATAAGCTCTGAGGGCAAACAAATGTGATGGTTGCAGTGTGGAAAGGTGACGCTTCCAAGCAAGGCACCTGCAAGGGCGGCCGGTGGCAGCCGCCGGCTCTGCCGGCGTGTCTTGTGCACGCAAGAATCGTTTGCGTTTTTGGTGCTGTGCTGTAGGCTGTAGGATGTCTGACAGCTCGTCCAAATTGGGCCAGGGGGGGACAGTGTGAGCGTGCTAAAACCTGCGCCAAACAGCATTCTACAGCATAGCACAAAAACGCAAACGACACTACACACAAGAACAACTGCACGCGTTTGCTTGCTGCTGCCAGTGTCACGCGCACTAGTAGGCGCCTGTGCGAAAGAGTGTCACACCTGGCTCAGTTAGGCTGCCAAGTCTTCAGGCTGCAGGGCCTTTCAAAAGGATTGCAGAATTTTGAGGCATCACTGCGTGTTTGCCGACCGCTGAGCACTTGGTGCTGCTGATGCACGAATTTATCCTTGGATTTTTGGGGCCAGTTGCCGATGGTGCTGGTGATGAAGAAGAGGAATGCTGGGGATGCAAGCAGTTGCAGGAGATGCTGATGAAGATCACAAGTGCCTTGAACAGCCGAAAGACATGGAATCCAATGAGAACCTGTGGCGCGGCATCGGTATATTTGGACGCAGGTGTGGGAAAGTAGCGTTGACGGGAAAATGCGCGCATGATCATGAATAACGTGCATGCTTGATACACTGCGCATGTGGCCCAAGAGGAGCCTTGATCTCCGTGACTAACATCACCGGCGCATATACACATTCATTGTTTTATATGCATGTGCACATATATGTATCCACATGCATAACATGACACATATGTACACAAATGCATGTGTGTAGAGAGAGAGAGAGATAGCTTTGTTCACATATCATTTACATGACATTTATTACGTAAACATATACACATATACACACAGCCGGATCCCGAGTCAAGTCCAGAGGGTGCAGAAGAGCATGAGGATCTCTAGGCCTCCCAGCACCAACGGCTCCCCAGCAGCCTCGGTCAGAGCCGTAGTTGGCCAGCTGCGGTTGACCCTCTGTTGAATGTTCCAGCACCTGTTAAACATCCGCCTTTCGGCTTCGCCCTTGGCGGTTCGGATTCGCTTGGAGGTTGAGTGGTTTCAAGCAACCCGCAAGAACCAGGGATTCAAACCCCCAAGCCGCTGAACCTTGGGTTTCCTTGAAGCAACGGACCCTGCAAAAACCATCTTTGAAAACCTTGCCAACCACTGCAATCAAAAGGGCGCTCACCAAGGCCCCTTGAAGGATGGGCGGGCCAGCTAAGAAATTACATTGGCTAGTTTAGAGGATCTCCTTTCCTTGTAAAGTAGGGTTGAGTAACCCTGTTCAACAAGCTCCGCAGATATAATCTGACAAGTGGCACGAGGAGCACCAGAAAGATATTCCCCATGTGTCCCTATGATAAACAATATGATAAGCTGCGCTGCACGGCTGTCAGCCATGTGTCAACAAGTTCCCTAGATACCTGGCGTCTTCAAACAGCGGACACCAAAATTGGCTAGTTTCCTTTGGGTTCAAAAGGGATACCCTCAACAAAAAGACACCCGCCAGAAGTGTTGTTCAAAGGTGTCCGTATGACAAGCATGACAAACTGTAGGCTTGTCAGTCAGCCAAATGACACTGACAGGTATAAACGTGTTCCCCCAACACAGGCATTTTGAATCTGGCAAACTACCATTGTTTCCAATTGCTAAGTCACCGGTCGCCTATTCAGAATACAGAAACCGCTGCTAGGACCAAGCAAACCTGGCATGGAATCTTCAAGACCCAAAGATACGGTAACGCACTCATCGCTTGAAGGTCACCGCTTCATTGGCTAATAATTAGTAATCGAGGTACTTTGTCTACCCCATGACCGCACCCCTTGGAAGAAAGGAATTGCGGCTAAACAGGTGAACGCCCCAAGTGAATGATCAAGGGACAATTCGGGTGTCAACATGTCTACCATCGCGAGCTCGGGCTTTGTGGCGCAGAGCACACGCAAAACTTGCCGTCTTCCAGATGCGTCTAAGGGGTCTTCTACTACCGGTTCAGGTGTTGTAGTACACTTGCTCCGGCATTGGCTTGGTAGAAGCCGTAGAATGTGGCCGAGGCGCCTTCCTTTTCTTGCGGTACTGAATCACTGCCAGAATGCAAGGCACGACGGTCAACAGAAGGCTCACCTTGGCTCGCGGGCGTGAAGCCAAGCCGTTTGTTCTCGCCCTCATTTAAATGAGGTGTTAGACGCAAACCAAAAGGAAACCATCCACTTCTGACAGACCATTGGGGTTGTCTCACGCTACGGGACCGCTAATGGAAGTTTGGAAGTGGAAGTGGGGTGGGGCAAAGTGGTTACTTTGAGAACAACTGGATCACTTGCCCGGCATCCGGAGGCATTTGCTCGGCATCCCTTCGTTTGACACCGGGGGGCGGATGTGTGTTTGTGTGTGTGGCAAATCGTTGCCCGCAATTCATATGTTCCTTTTCCCACTGGATTGCCCACAGTGGGAAAAGGAAGCAAGTGCGATTGCGCACGCTGGTGTTAATATTTGTTGGGGAGCTTCGGCATCGAGCTGATTAATACCCACATCAACTTCTTGATCAAAAGGAATACAAAAGCTTGTATGAAGCGAAGCATTCATGAAGACGCGGGTGTGGACATACTGCGCGCCACAGTCCAAAATCGGACTAACAGTCCGGTCGAAAACTTGGACTTCAAGCCAAATGAAAGCAAACACTGCCAGGACAGTCAAGCGAAGCATGACGCGAGAACCAACACACCCAGCTGTCTGGACAAGTTGCCATGCACAAGACCTGAAACGGGTCAGTCTCTTGGGATTGCGGCGAAGCTCGCAATTTCGGGTCTCCACATGCCCATGGACTTCCAGGCCTATCGTGGCCTGGGGTATAGGGATAGCCTAAAGTCCATCAGCAAACCTGAAAACAGGAATCTGCCAGGACCTTCAGAACTTCATCGCCATAACATTGGCAAGTACAATATGGGTAAAGTGCCAAAAAGGGCGCATCCTGCAAAAAGGATGGTTTTTGCTGCGGATACCCCTTTCAACCACTCTGAAATGGGTCCTCTCACAAACGACACACCGTATGGTCTAAGTTTCTCTCTAACTTTATTGACTTTTGTTTTGCCAAACACAACAAAACATGATTGGTTGCCTTTTTGTTTCCCCAACCGACACGAAGGGCACCCTCCAAACCAGACAGATACCTAGAGATTCGTTGCGGCAGAAATTTCTGCCGCAAATAAAAAAAGGTGCCTTTTTGGATTTGCGGCATTTCTTCCTGATTTGCGGCGTTTTTTTCGAATTGCGGCAGAACTTGGTTTCAGTTTTGTCCACCCCCCGATTTGCGGCGGAAATCGGCGGGAATGCGGCGGAAATCGGCGGGAATGCGGCGGAAATTCCCGGAGAAAAAAAGACCGGTGTTGCGGCGGTTTTGCTTTGGTTGCGGCGTTGATTTTTGTTTGCGGCTGATTTTCTGGAATGCGGCGACGATTTCCGCTGCAAGCAATGCGTTAAGGCAGAAATTTCCGCCGCAGGAAGTTCTAGGTATACCCTCCCACGTGGCACGGGTCGGAACCCGAGTGGCCGCGCGGGTCAGCAGCAGAGCCTCCGGGCTGCCCAGTGGCGAGGCCAGCACCGAGCTCCTGCCGTGTTGTTGGAATGTGAAGGTCCAAGGCCCAGCCCATGTTGGTGGGGTAGGGGTGGAGGGTGGGGGTGGGGTGGGGGTGGGGGTGGGGTGGGGAGTGGGGGTGGGGGGGTGGGGTGGGGTCTTGGAAAGAGGAAGTAATTAGTTCTTCAAGCATTCTGCTACAGAGCACCGTTTCATTAAAAACAACGGTCGCCCAGCTCTTGCGACTTCGGCCAGATGAATCGATCCCGGTCTCCTTTCGTCTAGGCGGCTGAAGCCCAAAGAGCCGTTTGCAGCCCAGCGGAGATTCAGGTCAACCACAGCCCCCTTGGTTCCAACAGCCTTGCGACTTATGGTACTTCTCCAAATTTTAGGGGGTCCCTTGTAGGATGGTTTTCAGCAGACACAAAAAGGAAACAACCACTTGAATCGAAGCTGTCCCTAATGTTCAAAAACACCCCTATGACCCGCATAAAAATAGCTTTTGAGCATACCCAGACCCCTTATGAGACTCCCAAAGATGCAAACAAACACTCACGCCAAGGGCGAATGCTCCATGCTCAACCTGTTGCCCCTTGTCCTACCTTTCGCCCTTCCCTCTTGCTGAAACCAAAGGGCATTGAAGTCCACCGCAGGGGGTGACCACCACATTGTCATTCCCCGAGTGGCCACACGAGCAAGAGGGCAGCAGCTTGGCACATGAGTCTGGAGTTGTCGGACCCCCTTCGGGTTGGTTTTAAAGGGAAAGCAAAAGAGAAAACCAACCATTTAGGGGGGTGCTATTCCTAAAAACAAAAGTTGTTGTTGTCTTCTGCCTTCAGTCTAGCATTCCCTTAAGGAAGACTTGATGTTTAGGCCAACAGGGTGGCCATAAGTATCCGACGGATCTGTGTTTGAATCATGATTCTCCAAGACTTCAGCTCGCACAAAGAAAGGACGGAAGAGTGAGTAAGCACAAACACAAAGACCATACCGGCCATATCAAGACTCCCGAAAAATGAGTCTGGCTCTCATCCCCTATTACCCCGGCTCCAGAACCATTCTCCCTAGGGGCCCGTTGATTTTTTTCAGGAAGTGGCTTCGGGGCCAACCAGATTGCCGCGCTTCGAACCCCCCAGCCAAAGGGGCGAGGATAAGCATCGTCCAGCACAAGGTGGGCCAAAACCCATAGAGCACCTGAGCTGTGCGCATGGCCGCTTTGCGCGCGGTCACACAACGCGGTCACATGGAAGCGGACGAGAACGCCGATCCCTTTTTTTTTTGCTAAACTGTTGAACCAGTTCAATGTCTCATTCACCTGGGGGAAGCAAAATCGACCAACACAACAACCTTCCCATGCATCCCACCCAACCCTCCACCCTTGCCCCCCCCCCGCTGGCCCCTCATGCCATCAACTCCACACTCCCAACGACTCAACCCAACCACTCAACCCACCCACCCAGCCCAACCCCATCCCTCAGCCGAACGTCTCCATGCCACTTCCCCGGCTTCGCCAGCTCCTTGGTGGTCAGCTCACCAAACTCCTCGCTGGCCTATCAGCAAAAACGGAGCCTGGGCCCTGGCTGTTGAAAAGCTTAAAGCTCGCTGCCAGGACAAAACAAAGGGAAGAACGACGCAATGCATGAAATCAGCAAGAAACAACACAAAAAAGGGACATGGCGAGTTGTTCATGTTACCCTCTGTCCAACCATTACACAATTGTGTGTTCAATGTCATGCACTCTCCCACCTGGACAGTCAGCTGCCAGGTGAATCTTGAGGGTGAGGTGTGCTTTCGCTGCATTTCTTTGGTTGCTTGACTTGCTGTTTGGGTGCATGGCTTCGGCTTTTTTCCCGGAGATACTTTCTGAGAAATATCCTCTGAAAAGAGTCTGAAAAAGAACGTGGAGAAAAATGGTAGGTACATGCGTAGCATCCCTCAAGAAAGTGAAGCATCTGAAATAAGAGTCAATGGCTTTTCTCCTCAGCAGTCTACTCTGCAGTAAATAAGATTGCAACGGGGCCAAGTGCGACAGCACCACAAATTTATGGGAAGTTTCCAGAAAGGGACGGCCTTAAACGCCTTAGTGTTCAGCTTTAAGACATGGATTTGTCTCTAAGTGAGGGACTCCTCAAAAGGGGTGGTTTCATTTTGAAGCAGTCCCGAAAGGTATGCACTCAAAAGACAAACACACACACACACAGACACACACACACAAACACACACACACACACACACACACACACACACCCACGCACACCCACGCACACCCACGCACGCACGCACGCACGCACGCACGCACGCACGCACGCACGCACGCACGCACGCACGCACGCACGCACGCACGCACGCACGCACGCACGCACGCACGCACGCACGCACGCACCACGCGCGCACGCCGGCGCACGCGCACGCACGCACGCACACGCACGCACGCACGCACACGCACAGCGCACGCGCGCACACACACACAACACGCACACGCACGCACAGCACACACACGCGCACGCGCACGCGCACGCGCGCACACGCGCACGCGCACGCGCACTGCACGCGCACACGCGCACGCGCACGCGCACACGCACACGCGCACGCACGCGCACACGCGCACACGCACACGCACACGCACGCGCACACGCACACGCACACGCACACGCACACGCACACGCACACGCACACGCACACGCACACGCACACAGTTACATGTATACATATATATATATATATATACATACATACACACATACATCATACATATTATGCATGTAAAAAGGGAGTGTCTCAATGAGGTGGCAGTCCATCCCGCCTCACGCACGATCTGGCTCATTGGGGAGGGGCCATCTTTGCCCTCCAGGGCGGTATATAGCGCCATGGCTGCGATGCTATGCGCCGCTTTCGCGAGATCGATCTGCCGCCGTGCGAGATCGTGTTTTGAGTTGCCGAAGGCTTGCCGCACAGAACTCTCCGGAAAATGGTTTAGTCTAGCATGACTTTGCAGCCGCTGAGGTGGTCTTGAAGTCTTGTTTGGCGGCTTGGTGTCCATCATGTGGGATGCCTCCCCGGGCCTTGCAGAGACATGCTGAATAAGCACCAAAAACCTCATTGAGCCAAAGCCTGGGGAGATAATATATATATATATACATGCGGTCCATTCGTATCAACATACCTTGGCTACCGTATACCCACAAAAGCTAGACTGTTCTCATGCTGCTGTCAAACCCGATGCACCCTCGAATGGCAATGTATTCATGGCAACGGCTTCATCTGACCGACCCCTCAGGCTCGAAGCTTTCAACTTAGGCGTTTCGACCCCTTTCCACCCCAAATTTTAACACTGTAAAAATTTAAAAACAAGCCATCCTCAAAGGTCCCTTCCCTCTGGAGCTCTCCGATATCCCGTCCTGCCACCGGGTGCAGAAGCTAAGACCATGCACCAGCACCTGGCGAACAAGAAACCAGCCAAGGGAAACCGCCCGAAGCCACGGACAATCCGGGTAAAAGTGATTTGGACCCGGACAAAAGTTGGCTTTCCTTTTGGTGTCCATTTCACATTTAAACTAGCCTGAAAACGGTACTCCTACATTGCTTGTTTGCCAAAATGACAGCCCAATTTTCCCATCCCCGTCTTCCCCAAACCACAAGGCATCTGGAGAGGCGGAAGAAACAGGCGAGACTGAGAGTGAGTTTGCCTGGCGATTCAAGCGCAACACACCCGGGCAATAAGAAAGCTCCACAAGGACCCCCCACTGCATCATCGGCCGGTTTTCTCGCTTTGAATCCAGGGTGGTGATCTGGGTGCAATCGCCCAACAGCCTAAAAATGAGAAAATGCCAAGATCGCTCCGCTGGGCGAGGCAGTTTGATCCACTGCGTTACAACCAGTCTTTCCTGCTTGACCCGTCGAAAAAGTGCGACAGAGCTATGTGTAGAAAGCCTCAAAGGTTTTGATGAGGTTGGTTCAAGCAAGTGCGAGCAAGAGGACCTCTAAGCTAAACACATACCCGCCTGTCCCCTTTGGGCCTGAGAACGGGTCCTCCAAAGTCAGCAAAGTCAAGATTGTAGTTCATCACTTTGCGCAATGCGCTCATATTCAATCAGAGTCAAGCATCTGCAAATCAAATCGGACTTCTTTCTCTCATGGTTTTCTTAGCATTCGTTTATGTAAGCAGCACCCAAAATCTGTTGACCTTTGGCTCTGCCCAAACGCAAAGTTACAGGTTTCACACTCATCTCCATTTACCCATGTATGTAGCAAACAGCCCCACGCCAATAGGGATTTCTGGGCCAAGAGAACGGCACTCAGGAAGGGATACGTTCCCACGTATTTAAGTTGCATCTCTCTCACCTCACTTTTACGGGACTCGCAACAGCCTTGTCCAGGTGCTCGGTGGAGCAATCCAGCCTCAAATGCGGCTCCAATTGGCCGGCAGTTGGGTGTCTTTTTCTGGCACCCTGTTTGGGATGATTTCAAAGTGGGGGTCCCCTAAAACAAAGACACGCCCTGTCAGAAAAGAGCGCCCCTCTCGTGCCCATGTTGTGCTTTGAAGCATCCAGACAAACCCTACAGATTCGCACCTGGAACGAGGACCTCTTAGCGGCTAAGTCAACGCCGCAGGTGGCTCTGCCCAGCGAGTTGGTGGTTTGGAGGCTGACATGTTGCTTTAGCGTAAGGTTCGCACCCCTTGCTTCTTGCCACAAATTAGTGAATCGCCTTCGTGCAAGAAGCCATGCTGAATGACGAGCACAGAAACTCTAACAGAATACTTCCGCGAAGCCTTTCCACCCGATTTCGATACGCTGGATTCACTGCCAATTCGCATCTACTCACATCTGCTTCCAAATGTTCTGGCGCTTTCGCAAAGCAGCTAAGCGTTGCTGCCAGGGTCGGGTCAACGACTTGTGAACTGTCGTGGACTCTGGCTCTGTTGGAAGGCCGCAAACGGAAAGCAAACATAGAACAACCGTTTGCCCCAGATTCGAATTCATTCATTTGGGGAGAGCACGGAGCAAAGAAGGACTTGTGGATGCGACTCATGTTGCGATTTGCAAAGTTGTGGCTACCTCCGTCAAACAAATGGATCTCGAAACGTGTGTTGCTGCCCCGGACATCTAGAGAATTCGCCTCACCAATGCTGAAGCCGCCGTAGACTTGCTTCCCAACAGACCCACACTAAATGCATGGAGAAGAAGTACTCAGCCGTGGGTACTGCATTCAATGCATTCTGAGACCTACTTCAAGCCCAGGGATCGACCAGATTTGACTACCAAAAAACTCATAAAGTGGCCCACACGAAGCAAGGGCTGAAAAGGCTTCATGCCGCATCGGCGCTGCCGCACCTATGCTTGGCACCGTCCCTTTCATCTTGTTGGGTTCGGAACCCAACTTAGGGCCTCGGTCGTCGAAAATCTGGGGCGCGCGCTCCAGGCGCAGCACCTTGCCCTGCAAGGTGGAACCGTCCAGCTGACTCTTCGCCTGAACCCAATTTGGCCCAAGCATCTGGGATGTCTCAAAATGGCATGCGCCTTTTGTTTTTGTGTGTGTGTGTGTCTCCAGTGTGTGTTGAAGGAGCCAAGAGGAAAACTATTGGGGGGATCCTGCGGACCACTATTTTGAGAAACAGACTCGGAAAAAAGAAGAAAGACAAAAAGGTGAACATAGGCACACATGTCCGCCAATGAAGGGGAAATGAGACCATGGAGGGAGTGCCATCCACTTTCACCCAACTGCAGATGTATTCTGATCTTCATGCAAATCCTTCAGGGCTCAGGGCTCAGTACCAGCAACATCCAGCAGAAAATTGTCTAGAGGCTTGACAGGGGGCCAAAGCATGTTCCTGCAGTAGATTAACTGAGACATTGACTGATTTCGAGATTGTTGCATGGCTCTTGTCCTAACGTCGAGAGTCAGGCTTGAATGCCTTTTCGGCCCAGCCCTGGTCACATGGACATGTGTGGATGAGTTTAATTGGGGACGTTTTGGTGGACATCATTCACAATGGGATTTATGCTCACCAACCATGTTCTTGGGAGTTATCCCTTTGAAGCCATAGTCATCGTGGTTTCCCAAGTTTACCTGTTGTGCCCTTGTTACTGCCCCCATCACGGTTGCGGCCTCCCAGGCTTCCGCCTCTGTTTTGAAGAGGACCTGGCCGCTTCTCCAAGCACGCTTCGGGTTTGATCGAACCGGTTCAGTCAACTGATGTTCATTAAACAAAAATAAAGCGACCAGTGACTTGGATGCCACCAAAGCTAAGAAAAACATGAGACCGGCCAAGGCCACAGAGCTCAACTGAACCGGCTTTCTTTCTGACCGGGAAACAAACATGGTTGCTGTGCAAAACAAGGCCGCAACTAGCAATCAAAGCAGCAAGCTCTCACAATTCAGTCCGGGCTTGTCAGCTTCGCACCACCGGCACTTTGTCGTGTTTACTCATGGAGCGCGCACAAGCCTAGACTAGGCTCATTGGAGCCAAAGGCCTGAGCCGTAAACTCCAGGCGTCCGCATTCCAAGATGATGCTGCACCAAATCTTACACAGGTGCAAGTCCGCTGGAAATGTAACTCCATCATAGAAGTCAAACAAGGCTCCCTCCTCAGATCCTGGCTCGCTTTGGCTCGGAGTTTGAAGGATTGCTTCGCTTCGGTCCTTGGAGACGAAGGTCGCCAAGAGACCCTGGCTGCAATTCATTGAACCTTCAGGGTGCGGCTACTGTTGAAAGCTTTCAAAACCCCAGCATTGGTGGTTTCAACAGGTTTTCCCGCCCAAACCGTACCTCCAAAGAAACTGGCGCCCGCAGCGCAAGGATCTCCCTTTATCACATACACCTCAACTTTTGCAAGGTGGATCGAAAGTTCCTGGGCGAAGAGTGTCACTTCATCCTTGCGGGCGCTGAACAGCGGATGTAAGAAAAGGCAGGGCGTTGAAAGACTGGCATCACTCAGTTTAGGCCGTAGCGCGCTGATGAAATCGCCGAAAACATGGGCTTTGAGCGCTGCTTCGGGTGCGCTGTTGATTGTTAGGTGCTTGATCTTTCCCTGAAAGCTGCGATGCAGGTCTTCAATTGCAGCAGTTGCCTTCTCCAGAGAGTCCACACGCCGGAAAATCACCGTGTGGTAGTCACTGGCCGCCATCATCTGAGTGCACAGCGTATGTACCAGATCTTCGGCAACCGGGGGGACCCCAACTGCCAAAATCAGTGAGGTCCACTTTGAAGTGGGGTGTTTGTAATTTAAGCTCCCAGGCTCACCACTGGGCTTGAACCGCAAAAACCATTCACCCTCTTGGGAGCTGGAGCACGTGCCGCCCATCAAAGCGGCCACTTGCCGGCGGTTCGCCACGTCTAGTGTGGGATCTGCAAAGGCAGGTTTGGAAGCAGAACTAAAGCCCCGCGGAGAAGCTGTTGCCCTTGCGGTCCTCGTTGAATAGCGGTACTGCCCAGACTGCAAGGACCGAGCCAGCGTGCTGAAGTAATCTGCAATGCCAGGCTGGGTGTGAGCCGTGACAAGCGGACTTCCGGGCTTCATGCGTGGGATTTCTGGCATCCGGTCTTGCCCAAGTGGTGCGTTCACAGCAGCTTCCCAATTCATACGTTGCCTCTCCTCTTCCAACCTTTGCATCACAGGCGCTTTCATCCGCCCGTAGATGTAGCCCCGGATCTTGGCCAAACTGATCCAGGTGTCGGAACAGAAATAGCAAGAATGGTTTGCTCAAGTTGTTGACTATGCTAAAACTAGATCAAAATATGTCAAAAGGAGAAGAAGGGTCAAAACCAGTGGTACCAATTTGGGGTAGGTGCACCACCCATTTTAATTAGTGGGGATTGGCATGTTCACTGGGGCCATATAAACTCTATGTTTGCTTTACAGCACCCAGAGATCCAAAGACAACAGCACCAAACCAAGCACGAACAAGGCCAAAAGATGCGCATTGGTGCTCGCAATCTGAGAGTTTTGCAAATGGCCCCTTTTGGTTCAGGGAAATCCAAAGTTAGGAGATTGTGCATATTCCCCCCCATTTCCGGGTAATTAACCCCCGCAGAAGCTTCCTAGGAACCCATCGCTGGCCATGGGACGTAGGGCCAAGCTGTCGGGAAGTGCTCCACCGCCAGGGCGCCCAGATCCTTGGCAGCTGCGCTCATCGCGCTCTGCAAGGCTCGAGACTGGAGCTGGGGGTTCGCACCTCAGCGCAACCAAACCGGATGGGCAAGAAGTCGAAGCCCAACCAAGCAATTGAGCAATTGACTTTTGGTTCTAGGGCAAAACGGTGGATTTGCAGCCCACATTGTAACTACCAGACCAGCTAGTAGAGCTAGCTAGTGGCTCACCCGAGCCACGGTCAGTATTTGTGACCCCCAATGACATGTGATTTTGATGAGTCACCCCCCATTTCCTAAATGGTATTGCGATGAGTTTGCCCCATGCCATACCGTTTGGGCAGTAAAAACTGTTGTCGCACAGACCTGCGCTGTCGACCGTGGGTTTTTGGGTCACACGAGAGAAACCTTGGGGATGTTTATGGGGATGTTTAAACCTGCCTGAGAGAGCGCTGACCAGAGGGAAATCGCACCCAAGAAGACTTGAATGAGCGGCATCCTGACCGGGGAACTCCTTGCATTGGAGAAACTGGAAGCTGGGGCGGACTGTTTCCATGTACGCAACACATAAATGTATACAAAACCCATTATGTGTGTATGTATATATATTTATATACATATATATATATATATACACATATGTACATATATATATATGTATATTATGATGTACACCACCACTCCCTGTCAGCGCCTCGCTCATAGGCAACCCGCGCGGCAATACACTTCCCCACGTGGGCCCAAAGGACCAGCAGTGCCCGCGCCAGAGACATGGTCTGAGTATTTCGCAAACGCCGGCTGAGCCAGGAACTCACCGCGGGCATGTTTGTTTCTGGGCACTCCGCCATAAGGGTCTGAATGATTGGAACGGGGGGCGTGGGGTATGTTAAAACCTAAGCAAGTTACCGCATAGGACAATACGTATAACGATTCAGGTTCGTATAACCATCCAAGGGGAGTTCCTCTGAATGGCGTGAAACTTTAAGTGATGGTTGATCTGCGAAAGTCACCAACTCTCATAAGTTGCAAAAGTAATTCGCAACCTTCATGGCCCGCTAAAAAGGGACACCAGCTCATGGGAATGTCAGTGCAACATTTGTTTCATCATGTTGAGGGGAGCATTGTGAACCCTATGAACCCCTGGTATGAGCCCCTCCTCGTCCAGCTCTCGCTTGAAGTGCTTGGGAATGACAAGTGCCATGTGTTCTGCCGGCCCTTTTCAACGGCACAGGCACAGCTTCTGAGTAGAGCGCTTGGACATCCGTGGGCGCAACGCCATGAGTGAAGCACTTGTTGCATAACCTGCTCTGCACTAACACTTCTCACGGATGCTCACACACGACCTATATATAGTGTGACACATACGTGACACTGTGTGACCCTGGACAACACATTATGAAGAGCGGTCCTCCTGCCCGTGGCACAAACCGCACCTCGCCGAATCTGATGTCATTGTATCTCCTGGCCACACATGCAAGGAAGGTTGGCAACTGTCCACACCACAAACATACTTCCTGCAATCGTCACAATTCTCATGCAACTCTGAACCACACCAACTACGACTGCCAAGAATCGCAGAAGGGATGCTACCAGAAGCGTGTTCATTCAAGGTAGATAAACAGCGAGGCTGATCAACACCGTTCTTCCAAGTGTTTGAGAGTCCATCAGGCACCCATTTTTTACGGTTCGGCTGCGCCAAGTTCTTGGTTCGCGTCCTGAGATTGGTCACTGTGCCACACTCCTGCAAGAACTCCAGGACCTGGCGCGAGGATTCGGATCTGAGGCCGGTGCCATCGAGTCATCGAGTGACCCCAACGAGGTCTTCGGGCTATTCGTCCACCTTCTGGAATGAGGGGGAGCTGGAGAAAAGAGCGGCAGGTTGCACCTTCCTCAAAATACCAACTGGGTGCTTGAAATGACTCGTTGATTTCTGTCCCTGTGCTCATCCCAAGCCAGCCAACCAACACTCGCCCACCGTTGAGTGCATTGGTCAAATGTCGACATTCAGCCGCAAAGGTTGCAGCCAATGTACTTGGATGTGTCTTGTTTTGAGGGTACCGGTTTCCCTTTTTGGCTTGATTTTAAACGGAAACCAAAGAGAACTCCACCCAATTGTGTCTGATTACTATTTTGACACTATACCCACACTCTGGACTGGGATTGGGGCTAACCAATCATCATATAATGGTTTCTCCTTTGGGGGGCGTTTGGGTTCCATATGGTTCCCAGTTAAGTTGGGGAGTAGGTTGTCTGCGTGTATGCTTCAACATCTATGGCCAGACTCGATGCGTTGAGTCTAGTGGCATCCACTTCGCTTGGAGTCCTGACCAAGGGCCGAACCCCAAGAGCTAAATGACGACAAAAGACTAAAGGCAGGCCCTTGTTTGTTTGCTTGCCTGCCTGCTTTGGTTGGTTCTCCCCATTTGTGACAAAATATGGGATCCCCTAAGTAAAGGGCCTACATCATGGCGAGATCCCTCGACCTCACCATACAATGGCAGTAGGGATGCTGGATGCACGCTGAGCTTCACCCAGCCTCTTCTTGAGGCACATCATGCCGGACGCCCTGCACATTTACCTCAGGTTGGATGCCCAACATGCTGATGGACGAAAAGATCGCAAAGCACAGGGCAACAGTTGGCTGATGAACACACCGAAACAAGCAAAAGCGGTCACCTGATTCGAAAGCCCAAAGGGGTTTGGAAGGGGATGGAAAGGGAATCACAAACCACCATCTATATCGTCCCATCTTTGACACAGTCCCAACCGGGCGAATCAAGAGACTTTCGGAATCGGGCAATGTAGCCAAAGCGGCATGGCCCGGCTCCTTGCGCGCAAACTTCTCGCTGGGGCGAGTTACCTGACAGATCCGATCAGCCTTGCTTTGACACCGAAGCTTCCGCCTTTTGCTCCCAACCAGAAATCAAAATAGTTCGCTTCTGGTCCATAGCGAGCCTTGAAATCAAAAGAGACCCCTGAACCGGCCGCAAGGATTCCGGTGGATTGGCAACAAGCGAAGGTGTATCCGTGGAGTTTGAACTTGCACCAGCCTCAGAGTCGCACAGTGGGAAATCTCAGTTCACAACTACAGGTTTAATGATGATTACCTTTTGAGATGCCAGAAAGGTTAATATCTGGATACAGTTTATCTAGCATGCTTTTGATTTTGATTTTGTAGAGAACAAGTTTACAGTTTTTGAAAACTATTCGTCATAACATTACCCCAGAAATCGGAGCTCTTTTCACTGGAGACAAAGACATGCCAGAGCTCTTTTGAGCAGATACAGAGAAGAAGCTTATGAATACAAGATGGATTGCGGCAACCAATCAGGTTGGCCAGTGCAGAAGCTTCAACGCTACACTTCTCTAGCGTGTTCAGAGCTTGAACTGTCCATGGCGCGAAATGGCACAGGATGTTTTACTAGATGTGCATAGATTTACCACAAGCGAATGACGACACGACTCACAAAGCATGAAATCGAAAGCAGGATTCATCAGCCCGGCTTGTGAAGAGAAAGACAGTGCAAACCTATGGCAACGACCCTTGCTAGCAGGTTGTTCTGCCGGTATGAGCCACGGTCGAATTGTGCGGTAGCTGCAAAGGACATGCGACAACTAGTGAGCGCCTTAGTTTATGCGGAACAAACATGTCCTCCCACGTTCCTCTCAAAATACACCGTGATACTCCCCTCAGCAATCAACATGTTTGTGTTGCAAAGTTTATAAGCGCGAAGCTTGTTGGAACAATGGAGACAGGCCGGAGTGGGGAAGAGTGAAAGTGCCTTGGCCACGCCAGTTGCCTACAGCTTATACCTAACGTCAGCCTGAGAAGACTTGTTGCCGTAGGCCCCCAAATTTTGGGCCTGGGGCTGAACTAGGTTGGAGACTGGGGCAGGGCCTCTGAGCGAACATGGTGACATCTTTGGTGAAAAGGAGGCCGGAGCCACTAGTTCCGATGACAGCATCATCTGCATACTCGAGGTAGTGAAGAGAGCCGGAAGAGAGTATCGGGGGAAGGGCCCATGTGTGTTGGGCAAAGTTGGAAACCTGCTGCTGAACGTCCATCATTTGCGCAACAAGGTGAACGATAGAAAGGTGCGGAGCATTCTTATCTCACGCTTCTAGCCTGTGAAAAACCTAGGGCGCGAAGCTTGCCATCTTGAGGAACAAACAACAGTCAGCATCCAATGATTCCGCCCGCGGAGCAGTTCTAATCTGCATATACTTGTACGCGCAGAGTCCCTGATCAGCGCAAAAACAGGTCCTGAGCTTCACCTTCTGGGACCACAACTTGTCAAGAAAGAAAAGCAACTGTTCAGAGCCGGTCCTATTTTCCTCAGGCTCCCATGGCTTACCCTTAGCATGTTCCCACAGTTGATCAAAGGCACTGTCACAAAACTGGATGGTGCCCAAATGCATCTTGCCAGCCAGGGTTTACAAATCACCAGTTCATGTATCTTCGGAGAGAGTGGACCTATTTTTGGTGCCCCCCGGCTCTTTTGGGTCACACCCAAATGGTAAAAAGCCGGACGCAACTGGCATTCCCGAGGTCCTAGCTACCCCTTCGGCTTGCAATAGTCCACACATATCCCCGCTCAAAGTGGTTGGCCTTGGCTCCCTCAGTTTCGCCAACTTTTTGCCCCGGTTGAATCTGTCTTGACTGTTACGGAAACCCAAGGAAATCCCAGACAAATCCGCCGACAACAGAAGGGGCGCGCTGGACACGAGCAATGCTTCTTACCTATTTCCCCTCCCCTTACCCCTCCCCAAATTTGTCATTACTTTTCGAGACACGTCCCTCAGCCATACGGTGGGCCCACAGTATCAACACATCCATTGATCCGAAGCCAGCGGCCAACCGTCCGATCCCCGGCCCGGAGGGAAAAGCCCCGCAGCGGCATCCCATCCAGCTCGGTCTGCGCCCCTCGAGTCGGAAGGCAGAAGGTAGCCGGCCGGGACAAACTGCTGTGTGTCTGTGTCTGTCCGTGTCTCTCTCTGTTCGCTAACTTGCTTGTTTGCCTGTCTGTCTGATTGTCTGTTTGTTTGTGTGTAAGCTTGAATGTTTGATTGACTGCTTGCTTGTTTGCTTGCTTGTGCTTGCTTTTGTGTGATTGTGTAATTGCTCGCTTGGTTGCTTGGTTGCTTGTTGGGTTGCTCGGTTGCTTGTTGGGTTGCTTGCTTGCTTGCTTGCTTGCTTGCTTGCTTGCTTGCTTGCTTGGTTGGTTGGTTGGTTGGTTGGTTGGTTGGTTGGTTGGTTGGTTGGTTGGTTGGTTGTCTGTGTCTGTCTGTGTCTGTCTGTGTCTGTCTGTGTCTGTCTGTCTGTATGTCATTGTTTGTGTGCTGGCTGGCTGGCTGGCTGGCTGGCTGGCTGGCTGGCTGGCTGGCTGGCTGGCTGGCTGGCTGGCTGGCTGTGGCTGGCTGGCTGGCTGGCTGGCTGGCTGGCTGCCTGGCTGGCTTGCTGGCTTGCTGTCTTGCTGGCTTGCTGGCTTGCTGGCTTGCTGGCTTGCTTGCTGGCTTGCTGGCTTGCTGGCTTGCTGGCTTGCTGGCTTGCTGGCTGGCTGGCTTGCTGGCTTGCTGGCTTGCTGGCTTGCTGGCTTACTGGCTGCCTTGCTGGCTTAGTATCTTCCTGGCTTCCTGGCTTGCTGGCTTGCTTGCTTGCTCGCTTGCTTGCTGGCTGCCTTGCTGGCTTAGTATCTTCCTGGCTTCCTGGCTTGCTGGCTTGCTGGCTGGCTGGCTGGCTTGCTGGCCGGCTGGCTGGCGAGCTGGCTGGCTGGCTGGCGTGCTTGCTTGCGTGCGTGCGTGCTTGCTTGCTTGCTTGCTTGCTGTTTATGCGATTGTTTGATTGTGTTTTGTTTGTTTGTTTGTTTGCTTGCTTGCTTGCTGGTTTGTTTGTTTGTGTGCGTGTGTTTTGTTTGCGTGTGTGTTTGTTCTTCTTTTTTTCCCGCTTGTGTGTGTGTGTGCGCATTAGTTTGGTTGCTTGCTTGTTTGTGTGTTTGCTTGCTTGTTTGCTTGTGCGTGGTCTTTGGGTGACTGTTTGTGTGCTTGGTTGGTTGGTTAGTTGGTTGGTTGGTTGGTTGTTTGCTTGGTTGGTTGGTTGGCTGTTTGATTGGTTGGTTGGTTGGTTGGTTGGTTGGTTGGTTGGTTGGTTGGTTGGTTGGTTGGTTGTGTGTGTGTGATCGCTTACATGCCTGCTTGATTCTTGTTTGTTTGCTTGTTTGCTGGTTTGTTTGTTTGGCTGGTTTGCTTGGTTGTGTGTTTGTGTGTGTGTGCGTTTGCTGTTGGTGTGTCTGTCTGTCTGTCTGTCTGTCTGTCTGTCTGTCTGTCTGTCAGTCAGTCAGTCTGTCTGTCTGTCTGTCTGTCTGTCTCTGTCTGTCTCTGCCTGTCTCTGTCTGTCTCTGTCTGTCTCTGTCTGCCTCTGTCTGTCTCTGTCTGTCTCTGTCTGTCTGTCTCTGTCTGTCTGTCTCTGTCTGTCTGTCTCTGTCTGTCTGTCTGTCTGTCTGTCTGTCTGTCTGTCTGTCTGTCTGTCTGTCTGTCTGTCTGTCTGTCTGTCTCTCTCTCTCTGTCTCTCTGTCTCTCTGTCTCTTTCTCTGCATCTGTCTCTGTCTCTGCCTGTCTCTGTCTGCCAGGCCAACAGATTCCACATCCAGGCGCCACCCCAGCATTCGGCCCAACGTGGCCTCCAGAAGTTTCCAACAGCTAAGGCGTCTGGCTCATTCTTGAGCACATGAAGGTGCTTGAGCATTATGATTTTTAAACCGGGCTGCCACCCAACAACAAGTACATCGGTTCCAAATCTCTGTGGGCAAGGTCACACCAAAGACCAGCCATTCCAAAGAAAAGTAACGTCATCACCGCACAAGTTGTTGGTGGGCATGAAACACCAAAATGATATCCCCACCCCACCCCACCCACCCCACCCGCCAAAAGCACCTGTTAAACTCCTAAAACAGTTCCTTTTGGTGTCCCACCTCAAAAGAGTGTGTCTTAAGATAGAAGTCCAAAATGGTGATTTTCCTCCCTGTCTGTCTATCTGTCTGTCTGTCTGCCTGTCTGTCTGTCTCTCTGTCTCTCTGTCTCTCTGTCTCTCTGTCTCCCTTTCTCGCTGTCTCTCTCTCTTTCTTGTCTCTCTGTCTCTCTGTCTCTCTGTCTCTCTGTCTCTCTGTCTCTCTGTCTCTCTGTCTCTCTGTCTCTCTGTCTCTCTGTCTCTCTGTCTCTGTCTCTCTGTCTCTCTGTCTCTCTGTCTCTCTGTCTCTCTGTCTCTCTGTCTCTCTGTCTCTCTGTCTCTCTGTCTCTCTGTCTCTCTGTCTCTCTGTCTCTCTGTCTCTCTGTCTCTCTGTCTCTCTGTCTCTCTGTGTAGTGAGCGAAGTCTCCCCAAATGAGCATAGTTCCTTGAAGCAAGATGAGCTTCGATCATGGCAATTGCAATCCCGGAAAACAGTTTGCAAACCAAGCCAGCAAGCTTCCAACGGCCCCACGCAAATGGAGACTTGAGTGCGTGCAACCGGTGGGAGGGCCCATTGCTGGTCACATTGAAGCTACCAAACTCCTGGACAAACTTGCTCGAGAGGCCAAATCAGACGATCCGCTAATAAACGGATCTGCCAGGCGAGTACACACAAGCCATTCCACCACTGTGCTTGAGTGATGTGTTACGTATGCGCATTTGCTCGGGCATGTTGGGTGTATGATATCGCCCATACTGATTCATGCGATGCCGACAGGGAAAGTGTTGTCGTTTTGCCGCGTGTACACCGCTCACCATCTCTTCAGGTGCTGACGCTAAACAAAAGTGATGCCATCGACATTGTGCTGGCCTGCGCTGGCCAGCATGTTGAAATGTTGAATATGTCCACAACAAAAAACAACAAACACTTCCTGATGCAAAGGACTGAGACGGGTGTATTGTATGCCACAAATTGATCGGCCATGCGCCTATCGACTCCCCTGGAAGGGGCTCTGAGCCTTGCCCGCCCCTCCACCGAACTGAGTGCCCAGACGAAAGGCATCCTGCTCATCTTGGTAGAAGGCCTGACACCAGGACAGCTTGTTTAGAGGTTTGCTCCCTGCAGTTGAAAATACTCAACTTGGTCAACAAGAATAATTCACCGAGACGCCCCTTCCAAGGAGACTTCGGGGGTGAAGTTACTAGTACCATTTCAAGGTCGCTATATTTTGCCCTGAACTTTTTGCAAGTGGATTGCCATCACGAGTAAACATGAAAAATTGGCACATCTATCCTTGAACAAATGGTATAAGGTAAGTAGAAACAGGCTTCAATCCTCAAAGCACCAACCCTTCATGATCTTCGAGAAAATTGTGCATAGAACCCCAAGCAGCAATTCGGGTCCTGGTAAAGAGGGTATTGAAGAAAACAAACCTAATGACCCTTGACTTCGTCATCCTGAGGCTCAAAGGCGACCATGGATGAAAGAGTTATATCATGCTTTCTTTCCTTGGCAAAAGCATGTGGTTGAACCTTTCAGGGTAACAGATCCGTCAGAAACAAAAAGCAGGCCAAGGAGCTGCGAGTGCTTCACAAAGTGTGCCCTTGTCAACCGAAACAACACGCCAGAGCACAGCTCAGGAAACCTTTCGGAGCAAACCAGGGCCTGCTGCACCATCTTGACTGCGCGTCATAGAGACGATGCCCAGTGACCCACCTCTAAGACACCCGGTCCAGAATGGCCACCGCACAGTGCATGGCCGGTGACCATTCAAGAGCAAAGGACGCTAAGTGTGGGGAAGCCAACACATGTTCTACGAAATCAAATTCCCCCAGCATCCCTTGGGAACGCCGGATTACGCTCTACGTAACAAAGGAGTTCTTTTGGCTGCAAGGCAGAAAGGATTGAACAGGGCGCCACCAGAACATACGAAGCATGAGCTCCAACCATCAAATATGCCAAACATCGCACTGAAGTCATCCGGTGAGACTTGGTGACCAAAATCATGACAGGCCTCCATGAAGCCATCTGCACAGTCAAGCATGGCGGTGAAATCAAACACACGGGACTGGCCTGATCCACAATATCACTTCTGCATCACTCATCCTCGCTACATCCGTCTCACTTTGTCATGACTGCAGGAATGGGCCATTTCAATGTGTCCGCTTTTCCCACTGGTCCATGACCATTCCTTTTGACGCTGGGCTGCCAAAAGAAGGGTGTTCGCTAAGTCGCAACCATGTCAATGTTGGTTTTCTTTGAAAACCAAAAGGTCGAATTTGGATTCTGCAGATTCCCAATGCAACTTGATGCGAAAAGAACAGCTGCTGTTCATTCCCGCCTCATAGCTCACCGGCACCTGAGAAGTCCTCCTGGTGGGTCCTGAGTTTTTGTAGTGGACGCCGTGACATGGCCATTTGCACGTGTCAAAACTCGGGAATCTTCAAAAGTAAACAACCGTCTTGGTGCGATAGGCAGGGAATGAAAAATGGATTGACCCCAATGAACCATCCAACTGGTGCTTTCCTTTGAGGGAATTTGTTGGGTGCATTCCAACATTCCCCACTGAGCACCAGCAAGCCTTGTTGAGGGCAGCCGAAAAGGTACAATCGGTCCGTGATTGATGAAAGGCCCCAGTTCTGGCACACTGTGCGTGCTTGGCGTCTTCCATTCAACGGGATCTAGTCGAGTTAGGAGGCTGGGCCGAGCAACTCAGCAGGCAGGACAGTATATTCATGCTGCCACCTAGCCGCAAAACAACGGAAACAACATGTGTGTGCGCTACGAAGAAGCAAAGGTCTTGAACGGGCGGCAACCTCCAGTTGACACAACATGTTGAAAGACCCATGCGGTGAAGTGTGCTTCATCAGGATGATAGATCATCCCGATTTAGCAGTGGCCACCTGTACCATTTGGTTTCTCTGGCAAGCTCAAAACTAATACCCTATTCTGGTACTTCCCCAGTAATTCCACGTTTAGTCTCCAAGGGGAACCCATTACCAACCAAAAGGGAAACGCTTGGTGATCGTGGTCAGCTGAGATTTAGCGCTGACTTGAAGTGGACAGCTTTCGCTTGACAGAGGCCGTCATTCAAAGCCCCCTCCCTGTTGACCCAACATGTTGCAAGCCAACCTTTGCTATTCTTAATCCATCATAGATCAGCACGAATCAACCCATTCCACTTCCACGAGCGCCCATGAGCCCCCAAAAACCAATCATCATGGGGGAGGCCGTTTACAATACCTCGAATGGATCGCTGCAATAGCCGTACACAAATGCCCATACCGCTTGCTCTCTCCGTTCAAATGCTAAGGTTGTGCTGGCAAAGGCTTTGGCGGACTGAAGTTACGTTCCAGCAGCTGCCCACAGGTAACAGCAGGTGATCATGCCGCATGCAGCCTTTCCTGGCAGGTTTAATTGCAAGATGCTTGAAGCCACCCTTCCTCCCAACGAAAAGTATTACGAGCAACAAGGTCACAAGGGTCGCCCTGACAAGGGCCAGATCGGTCGAACTAAAGAACGGCCAATACTGCCGCCCATCCTCTCCTCCGTGCATCACTGGCTGAGGAGCCCAATGACCATCATCACCTGGCAAACTCGCTTTTGGAACGTGGAGCAAGCATCAACGCATTCGCAAGCCGCCCACAGTAGTGGCCCTGTTGGGGATCCTGGTGATGGTTTCTGCTGCCTTGAAGCCGGGTCCAAAACGAGTCCATACTTTTCGACGAACCCTTCCCCCACACTCATCCAAAGCAAAGCGCATCCGGAGCAAGATGCGCATTTGCAGCAGAGAAACACATGAGGTGTGAAAGTGGCTCAATGCATCAGGAGTGTGGAAAGGACTGCAGTGTGCGGCTGGAAACGTTGACAACAACCTGAACTCTGTGGCGAGAAGTTAAGGTCTAACATTCCAAGCTCCTTGAAGGGGGACTCGCTTGGGTTGCATGTTGATTCGCAGAGTATTGCTATCGAACTATCGAAGAATCCAAAGGCCATACTCAGGTTCCAGGCGCACAGGCAGTCAATCCACAGGGTGTTGGGTTGCTCAAAAGGGGCATCCCCGAAATCCGAAATCGGACACCACAAGGAATCCACTGGAGCGCTTCAGTCGAAGGTCGCAATTCGGTTCCGTGCAGCTTCCATTGCATGCTCAGTTGACCCCAAGTTGGCAAAGTTCGCATCAAACCTGCTTCAACATCCCGAACGACCAACTCCACCAAATGAACCTGATTTCCCTCATTTTGGGAAGAAACCGATTGCCCTTCTAACCCTTCCAGGCCACACGCTCGTCCACGGCTTCTTCGTCCCCCAAGCCACAAAGAAAAACATCTCTTCCTTTCCGGAACCCTTTTTTGAACCTAATTCCGTGGGCCTTCCGACCTGAAGTCCCCCGCCTGGCTCCCAAAGCTGCGTGTAGCTCTCGTGCTTCCGGGACACCGGCGGGCGCTTTGGCCGCGGCCTCCGCGCGAAGCTCCGCCGCCACGCGAAGAGCCTCTGCCCGAGCGGCCGCTGGCAAAGCGAGACACGAGTCCAAGGCAGCCAGACATAAATGACTCAAAACCTACGAGTTGTATAGGTAGGGAATTCCACAAATTTCCGGCAAAAGACGGCACATCTCATCTAATTATGCAAGAACTCACTCGCCCAAAACAACCTGGAAACAAAGCTCGAACCCGTTCGGTCCAACGGAAACGAGTAGACCTGGATTTTATCTGGAAACTGTTAGAACATTCCCTCTTTGCTTAGAATACCCTGTTTTCACCTAGGCTGTCCACAGGGCAGCTGATAGAACGCATCTCTCCAGGACGTGTCTGGGCCGCCCCACCATGTACTGCTGGTCACCTGAAGGCCCCCCCGCAACGCTCCCTTTCTTTCGAAGGAGAACCCTTGTTCTCTGCTGCTAAACTCAAACAGTTTGGCTTGAGGATTGCAGTTTTTGCAAGCTTTTTGATCGCCCATGGGTCTTTGGTTGTGTCTACCAAACAGATGCAAGGGTCTCTTGCGAGAGTGACAGCGTTGCTTGCAGCCACCATGCCGCAGAAGCTAAGACTGCTCTGGAGAAGTCCGATGCTCCAAGAGGGCTGGAGGAAAATTGTCTTCCAGGGGTTGCCATCCAGGCTCCGTAAATCTTAAAACAGAGAGCCATCCATCCTGGGATCCCGGCCAAGCAAAGTATACCGCAAACACGCCTCCCAGAGCAGACGGCAGGGGTGCAACTGTCGCCCATGCCAAGTACCATCACAAAAAAACAATTGTGCCATGGCTGGCGGTTCCTCTCGGCCCTAGGACAAATTTTCCCATTTTAACTTCAGGATCAAGACACGTGTTCATGTCCGGCATGCTTCCAAAAAGGGCTCTATGCCAGCATCAGGCCTCCAAGGGAGACTGTCTATACATGTTCCCCGTTTTCAGGTTGGTTTCATTGGACACCAACCGGAAAACCGTAAGGGAAACCAACCGGAAAACCATTAATTTTGGAGGTGCCCTTTCAACAAATCGGTTCTGTGGAAAAGCTTGCAAGGTCCACAGGGTTACTTGAATGCCCCCTTACACCCTCAATTGCTCAGCCACGAAAGCTGATGTTTCGATTTCAGAATCTCGGGACTTGGTCAATCCGCTTTGAAGTGATGGCTTCGATTCCAGAATGGGACGCATTCAATCCTTAGGTCAAAATCCACTGATCGGGAATTTGCCCGCCCGCATGTCTGAGTGGCTCCCACCCCTGGCACACACGCTCACGCTCACGCACATCACGTCAGCGCTGCACGCACGCTGGCACATGAGTAGCACGCCCGCTGACGCGCATCACATCAGAGCTGCACGCACGCTGGCACATGATAGGCACACTCGCTCACGCGCACCACGTCAGAGCTGCACGCACGCTGGCGCATGATAAGCACACTCGCTCACGCGCACCACATCAGGCTGCACGCACTCTCGCACATGATCAGCACGCCCGCTCACTGCGATGTGTGCTGACTTGGTTGTAAAACTGCCCATGGTGACCTGAGATTCGGCTGGCCTGAGCCGGTTGCCGTGATGTCCCACAACCCCAGAAACATTCGTACTTGTCAAACTGCCTGAGAATAGACGAACGAGCTCGAGGGCATGCAAAAACACGCGCGAGTTGCTATGTACCCGGCGCGTTCTAAATTGAAGTGGATAGGGTGTGAGAAATTTGTATAGGGTTTGGACGACCATCCTCTTCGAATTGCCCCGTGTCAACTTCCACTGTTCGGAAAAGGGTGTATTTTTTTTTATGAAACAAAGAGAGCCACACACACACACACACCTGTTCAAGGAAGATCTTTGTCAAGCCCCCCCCCCAGTGCTGAATCAATATTGAAACAAGGTAAATGCTGAATCAATTCTGAACCGATATTTAGCCAAGCTGCAAGTAAGTTGGCTATAGATCATGCAAATGTATCTATATATATATATACCTATATATGTGTATCATTTGCATTTTGCTGGAAATAGGACCAACTCCCTCAACTGAACCGGCTGCGCTCATTGCGGAACAGTTTGGCTGTCTGTCCCGGAAGTTCGCCCCTATGTCTGGTCATAGCCACGTAAGCATTTCCCAAGTGAATCTAGCCCCGTCATTCACCAGGTTTGAGCTCTCAAAACGCTCGCGTGCTGCTTTTCAGGAGATTTTGCCTCATGCACGCACTTGAATACGGGCGTGGGCGGGAGAGCACACCACCTCGAAGAAACTCCTAGGGTTCATGGGTACGATTTTGCTGCCAACTTCCAAATAAGGTGCTGCACCGCCCCTACAAAAGTACCCTGAAACAGACGACCAAAATGGGAATGCCATCAAAAGCTGCAAATCCAAAACAGAGCCAAAATGTTGGGCCTAGTGTTGCTAAGGTCATCTGGCAACTTGATTTTCTTCCGCTGCACCTCTGCCACACAGTACGACCCTGCAGTGCAGAAGGGTGGTTGCCGGAAAAAAAAGAGTCCTGAATCCTGGTGCCTGAAGTTGACTTGGTTGCCCCAGCCGCTCCCCAAAGCACTGCTGAGCTCAAAAGACGCTGCACTCCAAGAAGCTGAATTGGCAAAGTTGAAACATAAACAATGCAATACAACAAACAGACTCCCAAAACAAGCCTTAGTTTGGAATTACGGTTGTGGGACCATCCAAAAACTAATTTGTCCAGTGCTGCAGTATCCTGTTCGAGTCAGAGGTCGGCATCGGCCCAAAAAAGCGGGAACATGGCACTTGAAATACCAATCAGTGAAGGATGCTCCTCTTCCAGTTCCATGCTAGCACTCCCTGAAGAGGCTGGCAAGCTATCTGGTGTCAAAAACTGTCTGGCATCCTTAACCTTGGAACCTATCAGCAACCAACCAACAGGGCAGCGAAAGACTTAATCAATTGTGTCCTATCAAGTTTGCAGATTTCAAAGTCCAGATACACAATCGTGGCGTTGTCGAGATAACTCGAGCAGCTCTCCCTCTTGCGGATTTGACAAGCCTGGCCGAAACCCATCCTACTAGCTCGTGGTTGCAGAACCAGATGCACATAGATTGGCGCATCTTCCGATGTCGCCACATTCCACAACCATGGGCCGTGATGATGACAGCGGACCGACAATTCGCTCCGAATCCTGCCAACTTATTCGACGCAGTTCAGCAACAATCGGCGCTTGTGGTGGGGATTGTCCAGCGAGCCTGTGGCGCACAGATAGCGATCAATTGGACAACAAACTTGGTCGCCCAGTTGAAAGGGAGAGTGTGTGTGTGTGTGCGTGGGCTTCATATCCCAAAACGAAAAAGGAGTGCATGGTTGCACTGATGCATACTGCATGTTCGTATGTATGCATGCAAGCATGCAAGTACGCAAGTATAATAACAACTATTAAAACCATGCATGTAAATATGTAAAGCTATGCGTATGAAAGTATGTAAGTAGCAAAATGCAGTTGTGCAACAATAAGCAATGTAACGATGTAAGCCTGTACACACCAGTGCATGAGACTATAAGTTATCTTTAAGTATTTGAGTATGCAAGCAGGTATGGTGTTTAAGTGTGCTTGTAAGTGCGCAAGTATATAAGTAAGCAAGCACGCTAGTTAGCTAGTGCAGGTATTTAAGTAAGCATGCATGCGTGTACGTATGTACGTGCTTGCATACACATGTACTTGTATATGTATGCATGCATGTCATACCATGTCATGTCACGTCACGTCCTATCAGGTATGTATGATATGTGTTGTGTTGTGTTGTGTTGTGTTGTGTTGCGTTGCCTTGCGTCGTGTTGTAGTATATTGTGTGTATTGTATTGCATTGCATTGTATTGTCTTGTAGTGCAAGGTAGCGTAGTGTATTGTAGTGTATAGTGGTATAGTGTTGTATTGTGCTGTATTGGGCTGTATTGGGCTGTATAGTGACTTGGGATACACAACCCATTTCAGGCATTGTTTGTCAGTGCACAACTAGTTAGTGGCTTGTGTCTGCAAGAGTTGTGATGTCCTTCCTATTTGTCGAGAACATTTGCTACAGCCCACTGTAAAACACACTGGTAAGTCTATCCTTGGCTGAAAGAAACACTCCTTGTGGTAGCCTGTTGAATTAGAAACTCGTCCATTTAAGTGGTCTAGACCTCTCTGACTAGCACGGTCATTCCGATTTATCCGAAGTGACAGGAGAGGAGCATTGTACTGTGAATCGACCACTGGCATGTATCTGGCGTTCGAACTTGCAACGTTGGCAATAACAATTGAATTACCGGGGTCCACAATTAGTGTTCACATTTGGCTCCCATCAAGCGCCACAATCCGCATGGATCACTCAGTTCTCTTGGCAACCTTGCTGGCGCAAGCGTCCAAGCAGACTAGATTTTCTGCTGCTCACGGATGGACTACCCAGCACGGCTACATGTCAGTGCTGGAAAATGGTGGCCTGGTGTTGCCTTAAACATGTGCTGCAAGCTCCAACCATTCCGGGGATCCTTTGCACGATAGGGGATTCCCAGTTCCGATAATGCCCTACGCTGTTTGGTGTAAATGCAATTGCACCCGTGGCCTTGTCCAAGTCGGTGAGCCGAAACTAGGCTCTGCGAGAGCACAGGGACGTTCTCTTGAGTTGGGTGCAACAGCTTGTGAGCGAAGGACAACAGCGATCCGGACCCACCCTAGTTGCATTCCACAAGTCTCCGCCTTTGCAACAGAACGCACTTGCCTTTTGCTTCATTCCTTCTGGGAGAGCAACAGAGCAAATGGCAATTTATAGCAAGTTGATCATTTCCGTGCATCGGCAAAATAAAGAACGGACCAGCAAACAGCATCCCTGATTTTTGGGGGCCTGCCCAACTGTAGACTTTTTCCATGGCTATGAAATAGCAAGGTAGGACCTGCATGTGGCGTAATGTGAACAAGCCTTCAAAAGTCTGGCAATGAAGCTACACAAGACGTAGTTTTAGGGTTAACTCATGTAGAATCCGTTGCAGCTGCCAATCCAAGTCAAACGTGCTCAACAGGAAATCAACAAGGTGCCCTTAAACAAGTGTAGAGCCATGGTCACGGGGGGTTGTATTCCGAGCCGCATCACTCACCTAATTAACCTCGACTGCAAAAAAGCTATCGGAAGCTCGATGGGAGCAGGCATCATCAGACTCCGACTCACTTGTCCCAACGGCATAGAAATGAAAGCACAACTGTTCGGATTGCGGGACAAATCGGGTGACATCGTGTACGGAGTCAAGCACGCTTCAATTGGGTGTTGGACAGAGACAGGCAGGACCCACAAAACTTCTGACGCATCCGGAACCCGCCCGGGCCGGGCCCCAAATCGAGGAGCTGGCTCCGTTCGGAGTCACTGTACTGAGGGGGGGAGGGGAAGGAAGAGGACAATTTAGTTCCCAAGCAAGAAAAACGCAACTGCTGCTTACAAGCCTCTCAGAGTCTTCAAGTCCCTAGCAGTTTCTGTTGATCCCCTTCAGCTTCCAGGAAGTTTAAGCCAAGCTTAAGGGATACTCGGTCAAAAAGTCAGATGCTACACACACCCTCCGAAACTGCAATAGGCTCAAGGGTTCCAGGGCAAAAAACAGCTGCCAAGTTAAGCACATGGAAGCCAGCTTGCAAGAGGTATTCCACATTCCTCTCTTAACCGACCTGACAAAAACAAAAGTGCGAAAGCATTGGACACATTGGCGCCCCCTGGAATCTCTAGGCGGATTTCCTGGGCGGAGTCAGACGTCTTGGGGCCTGTCACTGCCCAAAT